CACACACACACACACACACACACACACACACACACACACACATATATATAACCATATATATATAACTTACTGGGATTCGAACCAGCACAGGTTCGAATCCCAGGAAGGGTATGGCTAGCTGATGAGAGCTAAATAGCTTGAAATAGATCTATACTAGTCTCCCTTTATTTATCAGCACAAATACAACATATATACATATATACATACATACATATATACACACATACACACACACACACACACATATATATATGTTTCTATTTGTGCTGATAAATAAATAAAGGGAGACTAGTATAGATCTATTTCAAGCTATTTAGCTCTCATCAGCTAGCCATACCCTTCCTGGGATTCGAACCTGTGCTGGTTCGAATCCCAGTAAGTTATATATATATGGTTATATATATGTGTGTGTGTATTGCATACACAAACATATATATTTATATATAGTGTTAGATTAGACAAACCCCACTCACAGTCATGTACTTGAAATGGGTGCCCATATGGCCCAATTCAAATCCAAATCCATATCTACCCTATTTCCCTGAAAATAAGACCTTTCTGGATAATAAGCCCAGTCGGGCTTTTGAGCGCATGGGCTAATATAAGCCCTCCCACAAAAATAAGCCCTCCCCGAAAATATAGCAACACAGCAGCAGCCATGAGGTGACCAGACTCTCCACCTCCTGCACCTCAAAAATAATAAGACGTCCCCAAAAATAAGGCCAAGTGCTTATTTTGGGGGGGGAGGGGGTCAAAAGAAAATAAAACCCTGTCCTATTTTTGGGGAAACACGGTAATCAGAATGTGTCTCCATAATGCCAAGATGACGTGTGATTTTGCAATGGAAGCGCCAACCCTTTTTGCGAGTGTCACATACAAAAATGGGGAGGGACTTCAATTGGTTAGGCACAACTGCCATCTTGCACATTTTGGAACACTCCCTCCCCCCATCTACCAGCAATGAAGATCTATTGGGTCCCTTTCGACTTCAAAATTCATGATTCAGTTGGAGCTTGTAAAAGAATTGTAGGGTGGCTTCAGGTTGGCCCTTTGTGTTCACAAATGTTCAAAGAATTAGAAGCGTTTGCTTATTTACAGTACTTACATACTGCTGATTCTCCATGGATTTCTGGGAGTTCACAAAATTGAACAGAATCCATTCAAACAATGAGAATCAGTAACATGATTGCATAAACCAGCATCTGTATTGATTGATCACATCCAATCATTCAAAATTGCAAATTAATTAATGCTCTACTAAGAGCTCAACGTGAAAAGCTCTGCTTTGAATTTTTACAGGAGGGTACTAGTTGCTTCTCCAGCGAATAAAACTGCTCCACGGAGACGGAGCATCAAGTGAAAAACTCTGAACTTTTTCTGTCCCTTCCATGTCACTCGAGAAGGGGAGAATCTCAAATTCTCAACTTGTGTCCAACACACCAGGTAGGTTGGTTCTATGCCATGGAGGTAGTCCTAGAAGTATCTGAGTAAAGTCCCCTTGACTTATGACCACAACTGAGCCCAAACTTCTGTTGTTAAGTGAGACATTGGTTAAGTCAATTTCCCCCGCTTTTGCAATCTTTCTTGCTGCGTTTGTAAAGTGAATTACTGCAGTTGTTAAGGTAGTAGCCCAGTTGTTAAGTGAATCTGGCTTCCCCTTTGAATTTGCTTCTCCGAAGATCGCAAAAGGTGATCACGTGACCCTTGGAAACTGCAACCATCCCAAATATCAGTCAGTTGTCAAACAGCTGAATTTTGAACATGTAGCCATGGGGATGCTGCAATGGCTGTGTGAAAAACGGCCATGTGTCACTTTTTTCAGTACTGTTGTAACTCTGAACAATCACTAAATGAACTGTTGTAAGTCGAGGATTATGTGTAATTTAAATTGTACTCACTAGCCCAGTGTTGGCAAACCTTTTCGGCACCCAGTGCCGAAATAGGGGACTGCGCACGCACAGGGAAGCGCTGTAAACCGGAAGAACAGCTCCTCGGTGCGTGCACATGGGAGTGTCAGAAACCGAAAGAGCAGTTCCCCAGCTCGCGCATGTTTCAAGCATGCGCATGCTGGTCACCTGGTTTCTGGTGCGCGAAGACCAGCTGGCCAGTATTCATGCACACGCCGGAAACTGGAAGGTCAGCTTCCTGGTGCACGCATGCGCACCAGCTATCATGCTGGAACCCGGCAGGGTGATGGTTGGTGTGCCCAGAGTGCCACTTGCGTGCCACTTCCAGCATGCATGCCATAGGTTCGCCATCATGACACTAGCCTGTCAAAAGCCTGTGCAATGTCTGTGGAACAGGTAAGGATAATGCAAATGCAGATGGGGAACTGCATCTGCACCAGCATCAACTTCTGGGTGTTCTTCAAAGGCAGCCCATCCAGAGCACATGGATGCA